TTCATTTTGTTTAATATGTGTGGATTAAGATATTTTTTTTAGAATCTATATAGGTCGTGTCGATTTTTATGCCTTCCATACGTTTTTGAATTCATATTGTCGATGTCGACTAGTGCAACAAATGCTCGCTTCACAGCACGACACTCTTTTGGCACTATTTTAAAGATCTGATTACAGACATTCACAGGCCGTTTGGTAAATATCAATGCAAATGATACCAAAGTTTATAGGTAGAACCTCCAAGAATTTAAATGACCAGAGCCTACAGCTGATCATTCTTCTAACCTGTTTCTAAAAGTTCAATATTGGAAAAACTGGACTAATATTACCTACCCCCAAAATCAAACTCGTAAATATTTATCACCACTAAGAAGAACTTGATATATTCGCCTATAGGTTTATAGGTTTAATGAGGCGCCATGATTTCTACGTCTATTCTGATTATACTGATCACCAAAAAACAAAATGTTTAGAATGGTGTCCAGACACGAAACTTCTTTTTAGCTAATTTTTAAGTGCTTTGAATCTGAAAATGATCTTACACTTTTTTGGTTAGCTACCGTTTCTGCTGTACAAAAATGCGTCATTTTTAGGGAAGAAAAGCGTTTTTTCAATTGTTTTCTGTATATATGATATTGACCAATATTTCTCCAAATAAAACTGTAGAAACCACTCAATTGGTAATTAAACCAACAAATATTGGTCTGCTTATTGAGAAATACTATTTTTGCATTAACAGACACCAAGTTTTCAAAGATTACACGATTGAATATACCAACACAACAAGTATTTTCCTCAAATCATTTAGTAAACTAACAGCAGAAATAAAACCTTCATGAACATAAGAACTAAGGTAAAAAGTTTCTCTTTCTTGATTTTCTGTCATGTTCAGTGTTATTTAAGTCCCTTTTGATACTCCCCCAGTAACATGAATAATGGAATAGGTGCATTCAGTTTGGATGTCTTCAGTTGAAGTTTCTTTTGAACTGTGAAAACAAAATGCTCTCAAAGTGTTTAGTTTACTTCTGTAGTGAAGGCAAAAATCATGGAATACATTTATGAATATCAAACAGATGATTTTAGGGTTTCATTTCTTGATACCACCATAATTATCAGGTATACTAAAGTTGAATTTACCGATAAAGTTTACCGGTTAATTTGAATTCTGACGATAAATTAGAAATATTCAGTGTATCAATTCTAAGATTTTTAACTCCAAAAGACTTTATTCTTATAAAAATAGTTTATTTCAGGGGGCTAACATACATTGCTCGGAAGACTTGAAAATTATTTGGTTTCTACAACCATTATTACCTAAATTGTGTGATCATCCCAAATCGTAAATTGCTTTTTGGCACAAAAAATCGTTTTGACCAGTGTTATAGGTCTCTCAAGATTCTAACAGAAATAATTATTATAATTGGCCGATAAATCACTGGAAAAAATGTAGGTTACATTTATTATTATAATTCAGAAGTTAGCTTACTCCTCGTGTCATCAATTTTTACAAGATGCAGTTCAAACCACAAATGGAATATTGCTTCCTTGTCTTAGTTGGAGTTGCTCAGTACTTATATGGCAGCTTTGACAAATTTTAAGGTGCCTACCTGGCCTTGTGGGTGATCATTTATGTTCAGCACTTTTCCAACAGGAGATACAACGCAAGCCTGTAGAAAACCAGCACATTCACCCTGGAAGTAGCGATAGTTTATATCACCAATTCCATTCAAATGTTCTGGCAAGCTACATTTCTACAAGTTCAGATCTTTCCAACCAAATCCTGTCATACTACGTATAAAGGGTCAAATTCTCCTCATGATTTTCGTTTTCCAATTGCGAGAAAGAAGCGCAATTCGTGCAGCTTCTCTCCTATTGCTATAATAATGTTTTAGCTTGTATTATTTTAATCAGTTTGATATTTCAAGAGATCTATTAAAAATAAAATAGAAAAGAACATTTGTTTTTAAAATTAGGCAGCGCAAGCATAATTAATTAGTTTCCTATTACAAAATATCAGTTGAAAAAATCTCATTTGTTATGTCTACATTTCATTTTTATCAAACTTCGGACTTTAGTGAAGAAATCAATCGATGAATAAACTAGTATATATTAAAGACTTTTTATTACAAAAAGCGAGGGCACTTTCTTATGCTTTGTTCTTTTGTTACGTTTCAAACATATATCAAATTGCAACAATCATCGAGAAGACCTTCATGCCTGTCAGAAATAGTTTGTCGAATTTGGGTCGTAAAATTGGATCGCATAAATGCTGTGTTTCATTGCAAATGTAACTTGCCTACGAAAAGTCGATGACAAGCAATTGTGTTTGAAAACAATTTCTTATCGAGAATAAATGTAGCTAGGCAACATATATATATATATATATATATATATATATATATATATATATATATATATAAAACTTAATTGAATAAGCTTTGGTAAGCATTTAAAAATTTCCATTCACTTTCCATTCATGGATGTCACAGAAGATGGCATAGAATTTTATGAACTGAAAAAGTGAGACAAACTGACAGTGATAAAATAAATGTGGACAGAATATTCAGTATGCACCAGGTATATAAAAATTGAAAATCGGTACATAAATTAATGAAATATATAGCAAAAATGAAATATGAAACAAAAAGATCATGAATGCGTTAAGAAGAGCATTTATTGATTATAAATGCAATGACACACACACACAAATATATATATATATATATATATATATATATATATATATATATATATATATATATACAAATTAATAAGAAATATAGGTACGGCAATAAATAGATATATATATATATATATATATATATATATATATATATATATATATCAGTGTGTGGATGAATAAGCATTTAATGCTATATATATATATATATATATATATATATATGTGTGTGTGTGTGTGTGTGTGTGTGTGTGTGTGTGTGTGTGTGTGTGTGTGTGTGTGTGAAAATATAGAAAATAGAAAGGAACTGGTTAGGTAAATAATCCAAAGTCCCTTTAGTATTTTAGTTACTATTTTTAAAAAATAGTGCTCGATACAAAGTAGAGCATAAATATAATTATTTATTTAAAAGTATGATTCAAATCGCTACATAAGAGGTCTCATGTTTTCAAAACAAGAGCCGAAAACTTCAATAAATCCTTTAAATTAAATTGAAGAACATTAAAATGGGCTCCGTTCCATCTTCAAGCGAAATTTTTGTTTTAATCTAACAACAATTTAATTTAAAGGATTATATTGAAGTTTTCAATTCTTGTTTTGAAACATGAGACCTCTTATGTACCGATTTGGAATCATATTTTTTAAATAAATAATTATATATATATATATATATATATATATATATATATATATATATATATATATATATATATATATATATATATATATATATATATATATGTATATATATGTACATATATATGTGTACATATATATATATATATATATATATATATAGAGAGAGAGAGAGAGAGACGGGAGAGAGAGAGGGAGACGGGATGCAATGGATAAATAGTCACTATTTCATGTTTATAATTCCGTGAAGACGAGATGTTTTTCTTTCATTTTCTCGACTGCACGGTATAGTAGAGTCATTTGGGGTACCATCTGTGAGAAAAAGAGCAAAGTGAAGCAATTCACTCCGCCAGGGATTTGGTTATGCCATGCTGTACACCTTGGCATGCAGAATGTTTTGGAGTTAATCTGATGACAGTGCATAAGATTCGGAAAGAGTTGGATGATTCTAATGGTGATTAAGAAGCCGGAGAATCCAGTCATTTCTTTCAGATAATTTCTGTGACCACATCACCCCTTACATCTTGGCACCTAACTCAAGCCTGTTGATTATTATGAGTTGGGCGCAGTTGAGCGAGAGACGAACAAAACTTCCTGTAACTCCAAGGTTAAACTAAATGCAAGGGTTATGATAGCATTCACCAACAAGGAGACCGTCCAGAAGAGATGCAGGACATCCCGAAGTCTTCTGAAAGTCGTAATTGAAACCAATGGCGATTATATTGAGTAAAATTTCACTCTTTAGTATTTCGAGATATTTTTGTGTAATTCTGGTATTCATACTTATTAACATGCGATGTTAGTGTTCATTTTTGCGTTATTTAGACAATAATATGTCCTTGTACTTTAAGATATATTCCACGCTTGTTTGACCTATGATACGTAAACTCTTATGAGCTGCAAAGCAGTAGAAACATGTCGAATATGGCCTTTGACACAAAACGTACACCCTTGAAAATACCGGAAGTAGATTGATTGATATAAATATATACTACAACTTTAGTTTGTTATTGTTTTTCTTTTTATTATTTTTTTCTTTTTAATAATTTCTTATCCATGTTTTATAATTACTTATAAATATCATCCCACCACCATAGCGTTACTCCAGATCTCATCTTCTAAATAAATTAGAAATTTAGTTATTGTGTGTTAATGGTATATATACTTAAAAAAAGAAAAAGAAAAAAAAATAATGGTATGTAATCAGATCAATTTACAAAAAAAAAAAAATACTAGAAAAAAAATACTAGGTTTTGGGGAATATTTATTTATTTATTTTTTTTTTCAGAAATGGCTCCTTGGATTTTTTTCTAGCTTTCATTTTTTCGAATATTCATACTAAGCTCAAGTCAGATTTACATACAATCTGCGACTTCCTGTATGCAATTTTTTTTTTTTTATGAACTGCCTTGTGAGTATATAGCGAACATACACTAAAACAGACAATCAGTCATTCCAATTAATTATATTATGATAATCCCACCGATCCTTTTTCGGGGACGGTGACAATGAATATTTTATAGAAAGAGAGCTATAATGACCGCCGGATATTTATAAATCTATAAATAATAATAAGAATTTAGAGACGTTTAGTTATTATATCATTTCCTTTGACTTCTGTTTGCATATTTCATTCCTGGTCCCAACTAGAGACCTAAGGTCAGAATCGGCTTCATGATATTTCCTACTTATCATGTTTGTAGAAAAGGGAACAGGAAAAGAAAGAACGGTAAAAAAAGGAAGAAAAAGGAAAGGGAAAAGAAAAAGAGATAGAGGGAGAAAAGAAAAACAAAAGGAAAGATAAAAAGAAATTAAAACGAGCAAACAAATGTAACAGATACAGCAAAGTGAAACGAGAAAAAAAAGGGTAAAAGAAAAGAAAGAAAAAGAAAAGGAAAAAGAAACTAAAGAAGAAAAGGGGAAATAAATACGGAAGCCAAAAAAAGGACAGAGAAAAAGAGATAAGGAAAGGGAAAGAAAACAGAAAAATGAGAAAAAAAAGAAAAGAGAAAGAAATATATAAAGAGAAAATGAAAGAAAAAAAATGGCGAATATGAACAAAAAAAAACGTATGAGAAATGAGCAAAATTATAGGGAAAAGAAAAACAAAAACGAAGAAAAGCGGAAAAGAAAAAAAAGGAAAGCAAAAAAAAAGAAAAGAGAAAAGAAAAAAGAACAAATACAGAAAGCACAGGAAAAGAAAAGTGAAGCTAAAAGAAAAAAAATAGAGAATGTGAAAGAAAAAGAAAAAAATATTCTGTTCTTTCCTACTGTACTTTATCTTCACGTTCTCACAGTATTTGGTGCCTATATACGTATGTGCGTGTTTGTGAGCGCGCGTTTGTGTGTACGCGCGCATGCATGCACGTGTGTGTGCGTTCTTTTATAAATTGCAATCATCTCTTAATCTCTGTTTCCGATAGTATCGCGTTTCTTGCTTTTTATTCCCATATTTTACAGCCAATAATTTTGCAACAAATCCCCCCGAGAAATCAACTGCCACCATTTTTTTTTATTTTATTACAGACACCGGAAGATTGCAACAAACTATTTCTTGTCTCAAGATATAAATATATAATCGAAAGAAAAATTGTGGAACCTTACCATTGTTCTTGAAGATACTCAGTTAATTAAAGCGAAAACTCTATTTCAAGATTATTAGAATCGATTGTCATTTTTTTTCATAGATCTTTTATATTTGTCTTCTTTCGCAACGATGTTTTACTTTAAACTCTAAATTTGTTTTGGGACAACATTTTTTAATCGCAAACGACGCATTAGAATGACTTGTCTTTTCTTTTTAGAAAAGATAAAATTACACAAACATTGTTTAACTTTCACTTGTTTTACGTTTAATATATTTGTTTTAAGAATCTCTTTAGCATCTCACTATTGAACGAGTTTTAATTGATAACGGAATCTGGTGGTAAGCTTCTAGTTTTTAATGATATAACACAAGCACAGTTTTGTAAGGATATGTAGTAAACTTTTATGTCTATGATATATGATAATTTTGTCTAAATTTCTGAAATGAGGAGTTATCATTATTTACACTGTTTATATTCGGTATATTGTCTTCATATTTGTTGTTATTATCAGAAATTTTCGGTCGTTGTGCCCTCCGGCCTTCCTCTATCGATCTGGCTAACCTATCGGGAATTCTGAACTGAACCCTTTATTTAATCTACAGGGGAAAACTATCCAGGTCCCAATGCTCATGTCTAGGGGGATCGTCTAATTTATTTTTTACTTAATATTGTTCAGTTAATGCAGACTGTTTTCCTTGACTGCAAGTACGCACTGCTTAATCCAGGGATTGAACTCTAAAGCGCTATATCACCAAATTCCCAAACCATCGCTTTTAGTCATTAGGACAATTGCTGTAGTAAAATTAAACCCTTAGATATAAACTTGGCTGCTGATTAACATGCAACTGCTGTTGCTGCTATTTATATACATATATATATATATATATATATATATATATATATATATATATATATATATTGTAAGACATATAATAAACTGAAAGGCAGAAATATAGAATATTTGAATGAAAGCATATTCTGTAATATACTTTGAACATTTTAATCATGAAATAATAATACAAAATGAAATTTTAGCTCACGTTGGTATAGTAATTCGAAGGGTGTACATCCTACGTATGCCATTCGAAAATATTACCATGTCCCACCGGTGGGGCATGCGCACTACGTTAGGAATTCCGGGTTTAGAGAATGGGTTTTCCCCAGTGACGGAGACCGATTTTTTCTCACTCCAAGCAAAGTAATAAAGACTGAAAAAGAGAAAAATATACTATTAAAGAGCGAAGATAATAAAATAACGACAACTAAGAAGGCAAAATTTAACGATTAACTCTGCCTTTGAATTTTTGAAGATCATGGTTGATAGGGAGGCAAAAGGCGTCAATCGGGATCCACAAGCGATTTAAACTCTAAGATGCTGGAAATATGGTTAGTGAGTATGAAAGAAAGTGAAAAAAGAGAATTATCTTGAGTCAGAACAATTGAAGAGTAATCAAAAAGACAGTAAATAAAGGCTGACATCGTATTTTTTAAAAATTTTTGAACATCAAAGTTGGCTTGAGAACATGGACCACACGAAAGAATGGTGAGAAAAATAATAGTTAGCATAGAACATATGGTTACTTCTAGCCAGTTCAACGAGGTACCAAAGAGGCAAGTTCATCTGAACAATTAACATGGATGTCTTTATAGAAAAGGCAGAGGGAAGCTGCATTACTGCGATCGGGTAAGGGACTGAAACTGAAATGCCAGATCAGGACCAATAACATAATAATGATCAGGGTCCTTTTTTTCGAAGACTCTTTTGCCTCAAGATTAATGCAAATATCAATGTCTTTTCATACATACAATTAATTGCAAAAGATGCTGGATAGATGGTTAGCTCCACAATGTACGTTAGTCTTTTGCCATGATACATTCAGGAAATAACTGACGATATTTTTCCAGGAATTATCTTTACAAGGGGTTGATTTTGTCAAAAATGGAATATTGCTGTCATATCTGAGCTGGGTCTGATTAATCCCCACTTTATAATCTTTGCAGAATTCCATCTCGTTTACGTGACTTATTGTTTTTACTCTGTAACTTCTTTCCAACAGAAGCAAAATCGCAAATCTATTATTACCATCTCTCTATTCCGATGGAAAATGCCTAGAAGAGCTTCATTCTTTTGCTCACCTGTTTAGACCTTATCGCCGGGAAATACGATATTATTTACATGGGGACGAATCAGCATGTTTTCGTCTGGGTTTTCTAATGTGATTAAACATTCAAATTGGGTCACTTTTCCCCAAGAATTTCCACATCGTAGTTTGCTTGTCCGAACCTTTCAGCCGTTGCTTCTTCATGTCAAGAATTAGTTGTCACCTTTTATAACTTACCTTCATTCATTTGATTTCCAACAAAATTCTCTTTCATTCATGTCACACACCCCATTCATCATTACCATTTTTAACGTGACGTTAAACAACGGCTTTGAGTTGGTAAAAAATTCCATCATTGGTATTTTTAAAAAAAGTCTGTTTCTTCTTGGAGGGACTGTTCCCTACTAATATCAACATACAAATATAAATATAATGAAAGGTTCGCATATGTATCACCCAGATTTTGCTTCAGGCTAATTAAAAAATCATCCCTGGTTCGTGGCTAGAATGTTAGCTTTTCGACCATGAGACCCGGCTTCGAATCTCGTAATGGTCGATTTGTCAGAAAGGTTACTTCTCGAGGATATTGACCTGGGAATGTGTTGAAAGTCCCTGAAAACCATACCACTGGTTGACTCATGCCTTTGCTCGTACAATTTGCACTTTATAGTGACCGATTGTTTGAACGTACAGACCTTGCTCAAACTTTTGATCAGTTCAGTTAATACATTAATTCTAAGGTCCGCCCAGTATATTTGCATTATAATGAAACCGCTGGCTTTTTTTGCGTGTTTAACAGATACTGATGTGCCTGAGCAGGCGTCTGCAATATGGATTGCACCCTATACAGACAGGTATACTCAGATACTGGAAGCGAGTCATCACGTTTACACTTAGAAGCTTGCTTTCATGTTCAAAAATACATACATAGATGAAGAATTCCTTGAGATAATTAATTTTTCGAGTGGTTTAACTCGTTGAATTCATAAATTTCTTCTTCCATGTGCCTTCAGGACAGGTACGATCGTCGCCATCCCGAACTTCCTATCGTTTCTATCAAAGTTTGTCAGCATCTTTTCCCACACCCTGTTCAGCCATCCATTTATACAAGTCTTTAGGTAGCTTCCTCGCGGTATCACTTTGCCCGTTTGAACTTTTTTCAATATGGCCGGTAAATATCAAAACTTCCTTGCTATCTTTCTTCATCATGCACTCTTAGTTTTCAACCTTCTTTTTTTTTAAATATTCGTCCTTTTCGTTTCCATTTTATTTAAAATCTCTTTACACATATATTCAGTGCACGTTATTCTCAGTATTCATCTGTATAAGCAAACTTCATCTGCATTGAGTTTCTTCTTCATTTGTGTCTATCATTCACTGACATATACGAGTACTGATATTGCATAACAGATCAATACTGTTATTTTTCTTGTTTCAATACTTTACTGAGAGTTTGGAAAGCATCATTTCTATTCCAATTAGGTTTCGCATTTCAGTGTCACATTTTTCGCCTCTCCTCTCGTCAAATACATCGCAGGATTTTCCTATCTCCTATTAGTAATTCGCATCTTGGCAACTAAACATGCCGTCTTATTACAACTGAGGTCCGTTCTTCACACTTTGCCTTACAAACATACCTTACAATTCCTCTCGTTTCCTTTCTCTGTCTACTATCAACATTGTGTCATCTGTATCTATTATATTGTTAAGATTATGACCGCAAATAATAAATTCTTGTAAGACTTTTCATTCTCTCAGCATCATCGTGTTGTAAAGTGTAAATAAGTCCGGTGAGAAGACGCATCCTTGTCTTATGTCCCTTTCTTTTTTGGAATAAATTTCTTATCGGTATACAGGCTTCCAAATATTAAATTTGCAATTGGTAATATCGGGGGAATTTAGGTTTACTTAAGACACGGGGTAACAGAATGAAATAGAGATTGTAGTGGAAGCGAGAATGGGTCACTGCAACGAAAATATAATGGAATTACTAAAGTATTTCATTTTATAAACTTATAATAAAAAAAGAAATCCGGAAAGTACACCAAAAATAGAAATCTTGGAAAAGAAACGATATTGATAAAGATATAATTTTAAATCGTTTATCAATTAAAGACGAAACATAATTGGTATACGGCATTTTATTCAATATATCAATGTGTCATTCAAACGGGCCGGCTGCTCTCTAAAGCTGTATGAAGTGGACATGTTTTCTATTGTTCATCATATCACATCAAGAATTAACATCGTCATGGTTGTGGATAGGCGAACTCACTTTCGCTTTCGCTCTTAGATGTATACTCAGAAAAGATTCAGGATTTTAAGGATTGATTGTTTTTTTATGGCTTATCAATATTTTGTAGGTTATTTAAAGCCAGAAAATATTTTTGGATTGAAATAATTTTTGGAGATAATAATGAATTAATGGTACAATTCGTGCTAATAAAACCATGACGGGGTAAAGAAAAATGAATCCGTATCTTCAAGGGCATTTGCACGTAAGGGAATATATTGAACATGACTGGAATTAGAACACGCTCTAATTCCAAACCGTTAACCATTTCACCAGCCGACAACGGCTGGTATTTCCAAACGGTCGACCATTTAGGTACTGACCAGGCTCGACTTTACTTAACTTCGGTGAACATAAAAAATTGGCGTTGCAACTTGATATGAGCGTAAGAAGAAACTATTCAAAATTAATGTGTCTGTGTTGAAGGATAAAAAAAAAGAAACGCGTTTGCTTACTTACTGATTAAGGCTCAAGGTAAATTTTCTGTTTGGATCATAAAATCTTAGAATATATAGTCATTTTCCAAGCACGGTGCTTGATTCGATACAATGGTATACCATACCTGCGTGGATGTACAAACGAAACAAAACTGAATTTCGGATAAAAGTCCAATAATATTAAAACTTTCAAATGAAAAGTTTGAGGAATTTTGATTCATAATTTACTAATTTAATTTCAATTAATTCAAAATTCATTTTTCATCTGGTGATAACCTCTATGCATTAACAGCATAAACCGGTAACAGAAACAACTACACTTCATTTGTACTATTTAATAATGAATACGTTACTATACTTCCTGATAGAAAAACAAACAGAGAGCGTTGAATAACCATATCTTTTAAAAATAGACGATGAACAAGAGGAAAAAAAATGAATGAAAATAGTAAACAACGCGGGAAAAAGAAAATAGTAAATAAATAAATAATTAAGAAGTAAAGCAATGTATGAAATGAAAAAATGGACTCTATTTACATTATTCGGACTATTGTCCTCATCTTAGTCGGCATATTTATTACAACGTTTCGGCCTTTCATTATATGTCTATATTTCTGAGATGAGGTATTATGTACACTATTTACATTATTCGGACTATTGTCCTCATATTTGTCGCCATATTTATCACAACATTTCGGCCTTTCAGGATCTATATTTATGAGATGAGATATTATGTACACTATTTACCTTATTCGGACTATTGTCCGCATCTTTGTTCCCATATTTATCACAACGTTTTGGCCTTTCAATATCCCTCTATATTTCTGTGATGAGGTATTATGTACATTATTTACCTTATTCATACTATTGTCCTCATCTTTGTCCACATATTTATTACAACGTTTCGGTCGTTGTACGCTCCGGCCTTCTTCAGGTGGTTGGAATGTCGAAATGTTGTGATAAATATGGCGACGGCGACAAAGATGAGGACAATAAATAAAGTTCTCATCCGAAAAAAAAATAGTCCGCATAATTTAAATAGTGTACATAATACCTCCTCTCAGAAAAATAAACAAATACTGAAACGCCGAAACGTTGTGATAAATATGGCAACAAATATGAGGACAATAATCCGAATAATGTAAATAGTGTACATAATACATTATCTCAGAAATATAGACAGATAACGAAAAGAATGAAATGTATTAAAAATAAGCAGATCTTCAAAGAAAATTAAACAGTAAAGAATCATAAAAATTAATACTGAAATATATAATAAAGGAGAAAAAAAGATATAATGAAAAGAGGAACAGAATAGGGAAAGAAAAAAAGAACAAATAATCATTCAAATGAAATTAATAAAGAAATATAAAAGTTAAAGAAAATTAAAAGCGAATTATTAAATAGCAGAAGAGCAAAAACAAGATGGATAAATAAGCGAAAGAAATAAATGAAACACAGAGAATAAATGAAGGATGTGCAAAAGTAGAATAGAATAAAATGCACAATAGAAAAAGAAACGAGAAAAGGGAAAAGAGAAAATGAAATAAGAACGAAGAAAGAAAAAAGTAGAAGAAATGAAAGACATTTCAAATGCAAAGAACGGAAAATGTGAAACGGCAATGAAAGTAAAGTATAACAAAAGATACAAAGAAAAATAGAAGTGAAAGAAAAAAAGTAAGCGGAAGTATTAAATGGAAAAATGTCATATAAACACGGAAAGAAAGAAAGAGAAAGAAAGAGAAAGAAAGAAATGGAAAGAAGAAAAAAGCCAACGGAAATAATGGCAAGTGAGAAATAAGACAAAGCCAACTACAGAAATAATGTGGTTTGGTTTGTTTTGGTTTGGTTTATTTTGTTTAACGGCATATCAAACTCAATTGGTTATTTAATGCCGACAACATTTTTAGGATAGATTCGTATGAATAGAATATGTATTCTTTGGTTTAGATTGGTTTGGTATATTTTGTTTTACGGCATATCAACCTCACTGGGTTATTTAATGCCGACAATATTTTTTGGATAGATTCGTATAAATAGAATATGTATTCTTTGGTTTACATTGGTTTGGTATATTTTGTTTTACGGAAATCAACATCACTGGGTTATTTAATGCCCACAACATTTTTAGGATAGATTCGTATGAATAGAATATGTATTCTTTGGTTTAGATTGGTTTGGTTTATTTTGTTTTACGGCATATCAAACTCAATGGGTTATTTAATTCTGACAAAAAATGTTATTGTTGGTAATATTATGTTTTGTCAAAACTCTGTTTCTGGTAATATATTTCCTTCAATTGCTGGTAATATTTTTTTTCGAAAAAGTATTGCTGGTAATAGTTAACTATTTTGCCATAGCTGGGACCCTAACAGGTGCTACTACCCCGGTTCAGGGTGTACCTAGGAACACCAGCAATTAAGAGATGGTTCCACGCTCCTCAAAACCTCATGATAAGAGGCCTTGCTGCTGGACATAGTTTAAATTCTTACCCAGGACGCGGATATAGTTTAATATCTTACCCAGGTCGCGGATGTAGTTTACCGTCTTACTCAGGACACAGAAAGAATGTGGACAAACGACGGAAAGAAAGAACGAAAAGTAAGTATAGAACGAAGTTTCGAAATTAAAAAATAAATAAAAAACGAGAAAAATAAAAAATGGAAGAAGGAGAGAAAAATATATAGAAATGAATAAAAAAGGAAAGACATTTGGAGAAGAGAGGAAGAACATTAAGAAAGACGTTAGAGGAAGTAATATAGAATAAAATAAAAAAGGTAATACGGAAGGAAAGAAAGAATGAAAGAAACAAAGAAATATAGAAAAAAAGATTTACAACAATACCAAAAAGATAAACAAAGAAAATAAAAAGGAATAAACGCAAAGAAAACAAACTGAGAAAAATAAAATAAAAAAACAAATAAAAAATAAGGAAAAATCGAAAGAAACAAGCATAAATAATAAAAAGAAAGTAAACAAAACTGAAAGAAGCAGAGTAAATAAGAAAAAGCTAATCAATTAAAGCAATAATTATTAGAAAGAAAGAAAGAAATCGAGACAAAGAAATCGAAAGAAATAAATACATCGAAAGGAAGAAAGACAGAAATTGAAAAAGAAAGAATGAAACCGAACGAAACACGCATAAGTAATAAAAAAGGAAGGAAAACATGAATGTAGCAGAATAAATGAACTCAAGCTAATCAATCAACCCAATAAGTATAAGAAAGAAAGAAATCGAAAGAAAGACATACATCGAAAAGAAAAAAAATGGAAAATGAAAGAAAGAAATCTAAAGAAAGGAGAAAGAAAGAGTGATATTAAGAAAAGAACGAAATCAAAAGAAAAAAAAAACAAGCAAACAATGTAAATGCATTCTGGTGAAATATTGCTTTCGATTTCATGTAAAGAAACCTATCCTGCTGTACGTATTACAGAAAACCGAACCAGCTCCCCCCCCTACACCCAGTTTACCAAAGAAGGATCAGCGGACCCTGGGGGACGCTTCTTCAATATAAAGCCAAAAAGCTAATCCTGTGCAGTTATGTCCATTTCTTTCTGGTCGTTAAATCTGATCCTTAACTGCCTTTGGTAATATATGCTTTTTCAGAATGGTATATTTCACAGAATGTGTCCCGCCCTAAGGACCTCTTTCTCAAAGATCCTATTTTATAACAATTTGGTTCTATATGGTGGCTCATTCTTTATACGATAGCTCTAGAGAAACTTTTGGTTCAAACGTATTTGAATTCTAGAATTGGTAATTGTGCTACCAAGCACCTCCGATGCCAAATGATATCCCCAGATCTAATAACTTATTACGCACAAACTATTCTTTTAACAATTACAACTTTTAAAATAATCTGTTGGTAGGTAATTAGAAAGTGATTAAACCGGTCGTAATTCATAATCTAGTCAAATCCAGTTGATGGGTGGTAATTAAGTATATCAGTGGTAAAGGCATGTTTCTTATTTTCATGTTTCTTTAGATTGGTTAATTACAGTGTTAAATGGGAACACAGTAAGAGACTGCTGATTGTTTTAGGCCAAGATTCTGTATAAGACAAGAAATCTATATAAATAAAATATAGTATACGTCGAACTGCTCGTCAGATTTTGATGGCGGCAAATCCTAAACAAGCTGAAGCAACAGATAGTAACTACTGCATTTACACGCGATTAAAACTTAAATAACTCATTTAAAGTTAAATTTAAATATCGAAAAGAATGAAAGTTTTTCAAAACAATTCTTTATCAAAAGTTTAACATTAATTTCGATTCTCGTCACAATTGTAATTGGTATCGTCTAATTAAACCATAATTAATGATTAGCGGGGAACGGTACGTTGCTCATATATTTTGTTTCTTTTTCTAGCACGCTGACGTATTCGAAATATGCTATAGTTCAGGTTTTAGGTACCTCCACGAAATCGCTAAAAAAAGAGCATAGCTTGATGGAAAAGACGCCAACCTTGCCGAAAACTAAATTTTATTGTCTAAATGCTTATGTTATTATTTAGAGGAAAGACCAAAGTTTTTTTTTAATTATTTTTAAAAAAATTTCCTTCTTTTTAGGATATTCTAAATTTTGATTAAAAAAACTTTTTTTCTATTTGTATCAGCGGAACTAGTAAATAACATAGACAATTTTTAGCACATTTTTTTTGGTATGACACACATTAATTTGAAAAAATCCTGCAAAATAGAAATAATTTTCGGATTTTAATGAAACTTTCAGGAACTATTCACAGATGATCAAAATTATTATAAATATGTTTTTTTTTATGAAAGTCATGGTAGAAATATTTTTTTAAAATATTTATTACCCCCCCATAACTAATTTTATGAAAACGCTAGAAATTCGATCGCATCGGTTTTAGTGATTACAATAATTAAAAGCACAGGGCTTTGAGGAATGCAAATCATGTTTTTTTTTGTTTTTAATTGGATACACAGTACCTGAAAATCAGCTCTGAATTGTAACATACAAAACTCAATAAACAAAGATATTATTTAATTTCAAATGCTTTTATTTGCTTTTAGTTGTTTTTATGAATATGGACAATATTTTCTGAAAGCAAAAACATTTTTTCGATGAAAAATGAATTTTTAATACAATTATTTGTTATTTCATTAATTATAATACATTTTACATTTAAGGTGTTAAAATATTATGAAATTAGTTAAAAGCCGCATCGGCTTTCATAAGTGTCCTTATGAGATAGATATTTATTTAGCGCGTTATAAATTGTATCATTTTGACTAATCAGAAGATCCCCAGTAATTAAGAAATGTAATTTTGTGCTTATAATCGAGCTGTAATTATAAAATACGGAAGACCAACCAGAATATAATTAAGTTGCGTTATTTGAGTTAAGCAATGTTCTCCGCTGTTAAGGCCTTTACTTTTGCGAAACACATGTGGAGAAGTTAATTTGATTTTTCAATTTCAACTGAGAAGGGTACCTACAAGTATCAGTATCATCGTATGAAATTTATATGATCTTATTTTTATATTAATCTCAGTTACGACATTTTTTCCATAAATGAAATATCAAAATTAATAATAAAAATGAATGCAAATACAAATAACAGTAGAATGTAATAAATGTACATAAAATTATAGTATTTTATGTACAATTCTGATAAAATTTCATAAGAAAGGTACCTATAAATTAATTAGATACCTTTCTTAAGAAATATGAAATTTAATGACACTCTTAACAGTTTTATTTTAATTTCTTTTACAATATATTTCCCATAAAGCATCATAAACGTAAAGGTGAAAGCTAAGTACAAAAAAAAAAAAAAAATAGACCGCTGAAAGTTTTCGTTAAAAATAACGGGGTAAATAATTTGTTCACGTAAATGTAAATTATTTCACTTTTCTCCTTCCGTAGAACAAATTAGCCTCATGGAATTCGTAAATATATCATTCATCACATGTCAAGAGACGCGAAAGTTTATGACCTGCTTTGTTTTATTTTCAAATTACATCTTTTTGGCACAAAAGCTAAGTTAAGTTTGGTTCAAAATATTTTAAATAAACATTATAATTTCTGATTTTCTTAAAATAAGCTTTGAAAAAAATGATAATTGATATTTAAAAAATTTCAAAAGTCAGATTTCCATTTTTTTTAAAATGGAAAAAAAATGGACAATTTTGCTGACTCAAAAAAACTAGAATTTTAACGAAAATTTCGGACGTGCTAGAACGATTAAAAAATGGAAAAAAAAATACCCCAAAAATACTTGACCTTTCCTCTTAATAATAACAAACATTTAGACGATAAAATTTTGTTTTCGTCAAGTTTGGCGTCTTTTTATTATGCTATGCTTTTTTTAGCGATCTCGTGGAAGGTTAAGTACTGTCTTTTAAGAGTGACTTTATGTGAAGAATCATAAACAATGGTGATTTGTAAAGAAAATATACAATGCATGCAAAATAAATGAAACAAACTATGGAGATCGTTTCCGTATACGAAGAAAGATTTTGCCGAATTAAGGTGTTAAATAAAGATAAAATAATTTTCTTATTTCTAAATTCTTATCACTTTTACATACATAGGAATAGAAATAGAAATATCCGCAGCCCCCAAAGTCCCCCACCAAAGCTAGCCAAAAGTTCACACAAAGGAGCGGCTTCCCGAATTGTACTTATTTAATCTATATTTTTCGGAGTGTTGTCCCTATCTTTATTGCCATATTCACGACGTTTCAGTCGTCCCCAAGGACACATGGCTTACTGGATAAAAGCATTAAAAAGATTGATTGATAAAAAGTGACCTGAGCAAGGAGTTGTATTCACAGCAGAGAGAACAAAAACTTAGAGAGTTGGCACTATTTACATTATTCGGACTATTGTCCTCATTTTGTCGCCATATCTATTACAACGTTTCGGCCGTTGTACTTTGTGGCCTTCTTCAGAATGTCTTTGGAATGTCGAACTGAACCCTTTATTCCGCTCACTGGGGTAGACAGTTCTAGTTCCACGTGCCATGTTTAATGGATGTCAGTTATCAGTTATCCTAATAACTGGCATCCATTGATCTAATTAACGCCACTTTATCCACTCTGCTATGTGTCCTTCAGGACACATGACACTGTAGATAAAGGCGTTAGTTAGATCCATTGACAGTACCCAAAGTGTGAATTCAATACCTGGTTAAGCGGGATGAGAACTTGTAGAGGGAAAATAAGCAGGATAACTGATAACTGACATGCACTGGACATGATACGTGGAACTAGAACAGTCTACCCCAGTGAGCGAAATGAAAGGCTCGTTTCGACATTCCAACCGCCTGAAGGAGGCTAGAGCGTACAATGGCCGAAACGTTATAATAAATATGCCGAAAAAGATGAGGACAATAGTCTGAATAATGTAAATAGTGTACATAATACCTTATCTCAGAAATATAGAAAGATATTTGAGAGTTGAGTTATCAAGGTAAATTAACTAAAACAAAGGCACGTGGAATAAGAAAGATCTATCACTCTGGATTAAATAAAGAGTTCGTTTCGAAACTCCAACTACTATCATCTTAAGAAGGATGGATAGTAAAACGACCGATACGTCGTGAATATGGTAATAAAAATCAGGGCAGCAGTTCAAACAATGTAAGTTTTGTAAAGAGTTAAAATACCTCATCTCAGAAATATAGACATATGTTGAAGAATTATGGTTTTAAAAATTGTTAGAACACAGAATTTACCCTCAGTTTTAATTTACTTCTGACCAAACCCAAACACTGGAGGAAGATTTTTCAAGGAAAAATGTCGTTTTAGTCTTAGGTAGACTCAAAAATCTACATTGCTGCGAAATGCATAACAGGTAGAAAGTTGTATAAAACTTCATAATAGTCTTTTGGGCATTATTATTATTAACATTTATTATTGTTATTATTATAATTATTATTTATTTATTTATTTATTTCCTTTTATTTCTTTTGTATACATATTTCCGTTCTTGTCCCAACAAGAGACCTAAGGTTAAAATGGCTTCATGACATTTTCCACCGATCATTATTTGTATTTCTTTATGGCATGGACTAACAAGAATCACTTCAGTGAGACTATCGGAACATTTTCTAATTAATCCGAGGGCTACAACTACAGCTGGAAATATTGATGTCCTCATGTGTCGTATTCTTCAGATGTTCATTTTAAGATCCT